GTTCTAGGTACATGAGACACATTAGCGAAGAAAACGCACATGTTCCCTGTCCTGTGAAACTGATATTTTGGTGGTAGGAGGTAATCACACTGAGTCAGTTATACTGGATGCTAGAACAGTGGTTCTCATCGTAGGGCTATTTTGCCCCTCAACAGACGTTTGGCAATGTCTGGAGTCAGTTTCAGTTATGACACTAGGCAAAGGGTGCTATTGGCATTGAGTGGGGAGAAGCCAATAGATCTGGGCAGGGTAAAGGTGTTGGTGGAGGAATTTGGATCACAATGTGATTTGAGGTAGAATGGTTGGGTCTGCTGGGTTGGCCTTGTTGAGAAGGTGACATTTGAGCAGAGGTGTGAAGGAGGAGGCTGGTGACACTTGGAGAGCAGCTGATGACTGATTGGGCATCTTACTGCGCTAGGAAAACTGGTGCAGCCCTCACCCGTGCCTGACTTCTCTGCAGCTATGGTGGCTCACTGTCAATGCTCCCGGCAGAGCCAAACCTGCACGGGGAGCCCATTCCCCTCACTCATTCAAGGCCATGGAGTTCTCTATGAATCACGCACAACCTTCCTCCACCCTCTTCTTCTCCAGTTGTCATTCTTTTCTACTTCCCATTGCTGTGAAGGTCACTGGGAGAGTCCTGTGTTAGCCCAGTCTCCAATTACTCTCTTCCCCTTTTTCATGAGCCCAAGCACAGCAGACTTTTTTTTTTGTACCAGGGATAGAACTCAGGGGCACTCGACCACTGAGCCACATTCCGAGCCCTGTTTTGTATTTTATTTAGAGACAGGGTCTCATAGAGTTGCTTAGTGCCTCGCTTTTGCTGAGACTGGCTTTGAACTCGCAATCCTCCTGTCTGGGCCCCACAAGCTGCTGGGATTATAGGCATGTGCTGCTGTGCCCGGCCACCCCATCAGACTTTTGCTCCTAAACTATTCTTAATAAGGTCGTCAGGGGCTTCCACAGTGCTACTTACTGCTCAGTCCTCCAGCAGCAGCTTCTGCCGCTGTGGATCACACTTCTGCCTTTGTACTTGGTCTTCTTACGTCTTTCAGGTTTTTACTCAAATCCCCCCTTCTCAGTGAGGCTCTTTTCAGGTTTCATTCACTTTCTCTCCCCCCCCCCTTTTTTTTTTTAACCTTTATCCTTTATTTATTTATTTCTATGTGGTGCTGAGGATCGAACTCTGGGCTTTGCATGTGCTAGGTGAGTGCTCTGCCACTGAGCCACACCACAGCCCCCTCTTTTCCTTTTTTTGATGTTGGGCATTAAACCCAAGGGCACTTTATCACTGAGTTCCATCCCTAGTCCTTTTTATTTTTGAGACAGGGTCTAAGTTGCTTGGGGCCTCTCTAAGTTTCTGAGGCTGGCTTTGAATTTGTGATCCTCCTGCCTCAGCCTCCTGAGTCCCTGGGATTGTAGCTGTGTGCCACTGCACCTGGCTTTGCTTGATTTTTCTTGTATAAATACCCTGTGTTGAAGCCACAGGTGGAGCCTGGATCTTCTGCACAGAGTCTCTGGTATGGATTTTCACAAGGTGATGAATTCCTGATAGGGAGACCTGGTGAACACAGTCTTTTTGCAGAGATTGGGGCTCAGGAGTTATATGTCTTGGAGATGGCATGGAAGATTGCCTTGGCAAAATTGCCCGAGGTGGCAATGCAGCCCCTGGCAGAAGTGTAGCAGTCACCAATACCAGCAGCAGCAGCAGCTTCTTGGACACAGGGGCTGAGATGATGCCAGTGCCTCTGGGGGCAGGGATGGGACACACCCACACAGAAACACAGTGGCTTGTCACCTGGCAAGGGACAGTTTGGAGCTTGCCCATCTTGTTCCCCCAGTAGCCTCTCTGCACAGGAACAATGGGGAATTTGGTCAGTATGATGGCCCCCTCAGAGAACAGTGGCTACCTTCTTGGAGCACTTAACTCCCAACCCTATTGACCAGTGCAGTCCCAGATAACAATAGATGCCTGGCACCTGGTCCCCTGGCCAGCGCAGGTCTGCTTCTGCACAGGCATGAACTTGAAACTTCATCCTTGGGTGATGCCCTCAGAAAAAAGTCAATGACTTCAGACTCCTTGATGGGCAGAAAGAAGAGCCAGATTTCCATGGACTAGATCTTCAAGTCCTTGGCCAGGGATCTCAGCTTGGTGACTGGCATCCACTCCTGATCCTCAGCCTTGCTTCAGCCACAGTTTCAGCCCCAACCTCCGCCTTGGAGGAGGTTGCCAAAGCTTCTGCAGCAGCTGCATCCCCTCAGACTTAGGCCAACTGGGATGGTTGGTCACCCAATTTGCCAGTTTTTCCACCAAAGTACCTTTTCTCTTCCAGGATTCACTCCAAAATACATGGTATTTAGCTGTCTTGTCTCCTTAGTCTCTAATTTACAAGCTTCTGGATCTTTCCTTGTCTTTCATGATCTTGACACTTTTAAGAAGTACCACTAAAGTATTTTTTAGAATCTCCCTCAATTTGAGTTTGCCAGGTATTTTCTCATAATCAGGCTAGAGTTATGATTTTTTAAATTTGAATTAATTTATTACATTTCTTTAAAATTTAATATTATATATGACAACAGAATG